TTTTTTCTTATTGGAGAATCAATATAATTTATATTAGTTTGATAGCTGTCTTCTCCATAAAGGAAAAAAAGCGGGTATTGCATGGCTATAAAAGAAGGGTGTAGTTCACTAATTCATTTAAGACCACCATTAACATGATCAACTATAATGTCTCGATTTTCATCATATGTTCCTAAGTCACCTACTATTAGAGCAGTTATCTCTGAAGTACTTGGTTATCTATAATTTGGTTGTAAGTCATCTCTGGATTTTATAAGTCTTAGTCAAAAGGGAGCAAAATTTATCTTTGTTAAACTATCTCTAACCATCCTAAAGATTTTGATTAGATGGTTATTCTCATTAAGCATTTTCATTAAACCTTGAATAATGAATTCATCACCAAATGATATACAATTGAGCAAATTTTGGTTTTTCACCAACTGTTGGTAGTAGAGAACTTATTTTATGATGCATTTGACCATTAATTTTAAAGATATAAGGTCCTGGCCTATTATTGATTGATTTATTGATTTGACATCTTAAGAAAGTAAATTGAAGCATACTATTATACATTATTATATTTTCTTTGAACTTGGTGTTTCTATGGTTTGTATTATCACTGAGTAAATCTTTTAGAAAAGATAGGATTTGCCTATAGTTATTTATATGAACTATACCTTCCTGACAAACAAGGCTAAAAGTTGGATTCCTAGTTTCTCTTAATATATCAGACCTTTCTTCATATCACATATAAGCCAAGCAAAAAGGACATATATAGTTAGGGCCTTCTAAGTAAAAAGCAGTAGATTGGTTTTCTATGATATACATCATCAACAAAAGCAAATATTCATTTATGATGATATTAACCAAACATAGTAAAATGATTAAATATTAAATTCTTTAATATAATCTAACTTACATGATTGGATTCATGAGGTTTCCTCAAGTGACAATTAAGTTTCAACTATGTAGTTAGAACATTGGTAAAGAAGATTGTCGATGTGCCCTTCAAGATTTTTTCGTCAAGAATTTCTTAGTTTAATAGTGATTAATAATTTGATTATAAAAAATGTATATGACTAAATCAAATATTAATTAAAATCATCAACTTATAAAGTACAAAAAGAAAACAACTTTATCAATAATATTGGTATTCAAAGGATTAGTTGATATTGTTTGACCAAATTAAAGATAATTAAACTGATGATCCAAATGGATATTTTCAGTAACAAACCTAGCATTGCCTGTAGAAATATTACTAGCACTAGTTGTAGGGAAAGTTTCGAAATTATATTGTGTTTTTTGATAAATAAGACCACATGAATCAACACTGTGCAAAACAGTTGTAGGTTCGACAAATGTAGTGACCAACTCTCCTTGAGAATTTATTATGGAATGAACTGTTACATACTCTCCAACGGGCACATCAATAACATTAAATGCCTGATTGGATTTGGGACATGAATAGGTATTTGTGAGTGTATATTTGATAAAATATTCACACAATTGAGTTGAGACGAAATTTTATTACCTCGTTTGGGATATCGAGTGTTAGTATCAAATGATTGCAGATGGTTATTAAAAGTTTGACTAAGTTTAGAAATTCTTCTAGCTCTTAATATTTTTAACCTATTGTCTCTATTTTGTTTCAATTGAGTGCCCCTATCCATTATAACAAATTAAACTTAATTTGGCCAAGCAGTACTGCAAATATAAATAAAACACAAAGTAATTATCAAAACTTATAAAACAGATCAAGCAAAGAACAAATATCAGAAATTGAAATATGCAAGAATTAAAGAACAAATTAACCAAAACGTAAATGTTACGTTACAGTATAGGCCGTTAATCTTCATTATTTCTGATCTTCCAACCAAGGAAAAGACTGCAATGAAATAAACATGAATCAATAAATAGGACACAAATATGAAGCTTAAATAAGTGTTCAAAACAAATAGCACATTCACAGCATTTAAAAAATGACAACAAACAAAATGTATTGTAATTGAAAACAGAGAGGTGCATAACTTTAAAAAAAATGAAAGCTAGATTGAACAGAAAAATAGCATGACAGAAACCGTTAAGAAGAAAATCTAAAGCAAGATAATTGATTAAATAGAAAGTGAATGATAAATGATAGCAAGAACATCACAAAAACCTTTTAATGTTTTTAATAGCAATGCTCAAATGACTAAGACTAAAATTAAGAAGAAATAAGAAATATCAAAATAACAATAGAAATATAACATAGATTTTTTCATAAAAGACTGAATGTGAAAAGGATATAAATATTTTTTTTAAAGATAAAAAAGGAGCAAATAGTCAACTGTCATAGTTAACAATCATAGAGCACTGAAAGCCAAATCTAAAAACAAGAAAAAAAAAACGTCACTCAAACTAAATAATAAAAACAACATGTCAACAAGGATGGAAATCCAAATCAGGAAAAAAGATAATGAATTAAGTACAACTCAGAAGGTAAATGACAGTGGAAAAAGCACGTTTTTTTTATATATAATTTTTTAAAAAAATGAAATGACTAACAATACAATAACAAAACAGTAACTAAAATAACAAAACCGGAACAATGAAATTCAACAATTTCACCCAATCAACAAACACAAACCTATGGATTAAAGTTTCCTGCCAAAAAAAGAAGAGATAAAGTCAATAACAACAATCCATAAAAAAAATTATGAGATTTGTGTTAGCTTTAAAATTATTATAGTTTTGATTATGACAAAATGATCAAATTTGCTTGAACATTATTTGAGTAATCCTTGACAATTGCTTGAAATGATTTAACTCCCATACATTTGTTCTTGCATAGTTATAAGCTTGTATGACTTAGGTGTATGAGTTCTTATGATTCCCATTCATTAAAGTTTGATCTAAAGATTGAAGGAAAATTTAGATGCACTCATTAAAGGAGAGTTTTAAATATCAATTTTAATGATAAAATTTTTTTTAAAAAAAAGACTAAGTTAAATAAAGTTTGATTGGTCTTCATGTTTAATGTCTGATGCTTTGTTTTTGTTTTATTGAATATTACGTACAGAAAACTAGATGCATTGACTAAGGGGGAGTAACTCATTGCGCATAAAGATTTGAAGCATTCATATTGAATAAGGACATTGCACTATTAATCTAAGAGTGTTTTGTCATCATCAAAAATAAGAGATAGAGAATGTTGACTCTATATGTTTTTGATGATAGCAAAATATTCTCATTCATCGGTGTCTAATTATATTGTTTAAGTGTACAGGACAAAAATGTATGCCATTAATAAATTAATCACTCAAAAACAATATATGAAAACTCAGAAGAATAAGTAGCTACAATTGAGCAATGAAACAAAAAGCCTCTAAGTTGAATAATCAAGGGAGTTAGATGGATAAAACTTAAAAAAGAAATTGACGGGTTAAAGCAAATAGTGAAATAGAGAACACTTAGTCGACCAAGAGATAGTGTTAGTCGACTAAAAGCTTTCTACCAGAAACCGAGGCTACTGGTAGTCTACCAGAGACAGAAATGACTTAATCGATTAAAAAGTTTTGTTAGTCAACTAAGAGGCTACTGCCAAAAACTAGGTTCAGAGATAGAGGCTACTGCCAAAAACTAGGTTCAGAGATAGAGCCTACTGCCAAAAACTAGGTTCAGAGACAGAGATGACTTAGTCGACTAAGTGATAACGATTAGTTGATTAAGAGCATTCTGTCTGACAGTTTGAACTGAACGTTGAAAAATAAAATAATGGCTAGAATTGCTCTTAAACTATTTTCAACGGTCAGAATCTGTCTAGCTACCATTAGAGTTGATTTTTCAAGTATAAAAAGCCATCCCAATAGCCAAGAATTAGTTTTGAAGGATTCCAAGATCAAAAAGAGCTCAAAAATCTCAAAAACTCTCTGCATACTTTCTGTACTTTACTCCAATCTTTGTAACAGAGTTAAGCACTTCATCTTGTACCATCAAATCAGGTTAATGATCATCAGTACCTCTTTATTTCTTTTCTCCTTGATTGTTTAGTGTGGGAGACACTCTAAGGGGATTAATCAAGCTTAGGTTAGCTTGATTGAGTGTATAGGTTTTAACTTAGCCTAGAAATGTTAGTTTTTGAGTTTTGGTTGATCCCGAAAAAAATTATTGTTGAAGGTTGTGGCTGAGCCTGTGAAAAGCCATTGTAAAAGCTTGGTGAAAGCTTGGGAATTTCACCATTTATAGTGATTTGATTTGAAAAATCCTTGGTTAAACAATCAAGGTAATGTAGGTCTTTGACCGAACCACTATAAATCTTTATGTATTGTCTTCCCTGTTTTATTTTTCATTTCATTCTTTGTTAGATTTTTTCATATCTTGCATTTAACTTCCCATTTTTGAACTTTAACTTGCCCTTAATTAAAGGTCAAATTTAGTAAGAGCCAAAAAGTATTATTCACCCCCCTCTAGCACATTTATTTGGGACCAACAAGTGGTATCAGAGCTAGATCCCTCATTCTTAAGGCTTAACATCCTCAAGGAGATTCAAATGGCTCTTCAAAAATCTATAGTTGCTGAGGGAC